TAACAAGGCATGTTGTCACTTATTATATATTTTATTGTAAATAATAAATCACTTTATTTTTAAATAATTTACTTTTAAACATGCTTGAATACTTTACATAAACTGATAAGCCAAAATATTATAAACCCTTGCCTGTGTTAGTCCTTCATATCCCTTCAAAATACTTGCAAAATACTAGGCATAGACTTTTTAAGACCTCTGTAGATTTTGCCTAGGATCTAGTGCTTGGATATTAACTGGTGCAAGTTGATAGAACTGATAAATTCCATAAGTGGTCAATGGGATAGAGATCATGACAAGTTTATCCTGGTACTATTGCATCCCCAGTATGTACCCCTTATTCAGGAGAAAGTGAAACTCATCAGACCAGGTGACTCTTCTTCATTGATATAAGGTCAATTTCCAACTCTCACATGATCATTGAAAGTACCTTTACAAATAGACATTGATTAGCATAGATAACTTGACTGGCTTATGACTAAACAACTCCATATACAGCAAGGACTAATACACTGTGTATTGTGATACATTGTTTTCTTCTTGATTAAATCTATTTGCAGTATTCATTCTCCAATGCCTTATAATGATTTGTGATTTCTTTCCTCTTTAAACCACTGCTGATAGGAAACCACAAGCCATGCCCTCTGAAATGCTCTGACTTAATCTTTTAGCCATAACAATTTGGCCTTCATCAAAGTCATTCAAATATTTTTCTTGTCTGTAACAGCATCATTCAGTGCATCATAACATATTCAAGGCTGACCTAACTGGTTATATGCATCTGTTTCTGACATATGCAGCTGTTACAAGGCAGTAACTGTCAGTGAAATCTGGCTTTCATCATTAAAAGAAAACAGATTTCAAATCATAGATGACATTAAAGAGAATGTGGTAATCCTGAAAAAGTCTTTACAGACTGTTTTCAAAAGTGGAAAGGATTTTAAGATTGCAAGGTCCCAAAGAGAGGTACTTTGAAGAGAACTAAGTACCATTACCATGGTAGCATTTTTTTTTAACCTTTGACACACTGCATTATTCACTACTTTCCTTTCCACTGCATTGTGTTTCAAAGCTCCTCAACTGCACTACTTAACTTTAGTTATGGTCATTTTCTGTTGCCATAGCAGAATATGACAACACAACTGCAAAATTCAAACATGCTATTATTCATTCATCTGAGGCAGTGGCATGATAAAATTTTTCTTTGCAAACAAAATCACCTCCAGAATGTTAAAGGTTAATATTGTTGGATCATTTCTGAACAAACCTTGTATGAGATGCTACCCAAAACTACAGGGAATTTGATCATGGAAAAAATTATTTATCCTAACATCTACTACTTTCCATTCTCTTTGAAGAAACCTATGGTGCTCATTCAAAGAATACTTCTCACAAAGAATCATAGTAAAAGTCCAACTTCAGGTCACATCTACTGTTCAAATTCTTCTAACTTTTGAGTAGCACCTCATGTACTTGCAGTTAATGAATTATCCCAAGTTTTCATCCTATGCATTTCTTCTGATTGTTGTTCTCTACAGATAGCCAATAATATTTTCATATATCAAAATTACTTTCCACTTCCAGCTCATTAACATGATGTCTTATCATATGACATACTTGGAATGGAGTAGTAACTGTATAAGTGTTACTAGAATTAACTCCCAACCCAAAGCACCATAACCACAGCTACTGGCTAATAATGAATCTATTCAGTGTTATATATATATATATATATATATATATATATATATATATATATATATATGTGTGTGCATGTATATAATTATATTCATACAAATATATTTTAAATAACTTTAAATGCACTAAGATTTAAATAAGATTTGACAGAAAATGTATTGTAATCAAGATATTTAGTGGGAACCTATTTTCATATTTTAGGGCCTTTTATATGATGACAAAGGCATCAAACTTGATTCTGTGTTTGTCAAAGATGACATTCAGATTGGTGACCAATTGGAAAGTGATCATTACCTGATTACCATCGAAGAAGTTCTGTCTTCCAGTACAGAAAGAACTAATTACAATTCAAATGAGGTTCCCACATTGCCAGTTACAAAGACAAGCCCTAAAGAACAATCACTGCATATGCAAGGAAGGAGTAACCTGAAGCCAATAATAGCAGGGAATTGTCTAAGACAGAACAGAGTTGGCCTGAAGCGGCAAAGAAGTGTAAGTATATTTGACTAAACTCACATTTCTTTCTTGTTTTTTTATTTCATTGTGGATATATATATATATATATATATATATATATATATAAAATGTCAATAACATAGGATTTTAAGATGTAAAAAGATAAAAAATAAAAAGTGCTCAATGCTAAAATAGAGCAATCTAAGATGATATTAAATAGTGTGGCAACTTCTTTTCTTTTTATGTGCCATGTCCTTTCATGACATAGGCAATCATTGCTCTTCACTTACCCCTATCCCTTGTGGCTCTCAGTAGGTTTTGTGCCTCTGTCAACTCCCCCAGACCACGTTTTGCCATCCACTTGCTTAAGCTCATCACATTATGTCATGTGTTGCTTTTCCTTGTCTCTTTTTTTCCTCTATTCGACCTGTAAGTATCAGATTCTCCAGGCCCTCTTTTCTCATTACATGTCCCAGAAATTTCATCTGCCTCTTCCTTCAGCTAGCAAACTTTCATCTACAGGTTTTCAGAGTTGTAAATTTTGTTTTTTAATCAATAATGCCATTAAGATGCAAGGGGCTACTGGAAGTGAAAGAGAATGAAAATACATTAGAAGGAACTGGAAACCCAATCCTAAACAGGAAATAAGGAATAGACCAAATACAACTATCCATAAAACAAATACTAGTAGATAACACCAAAATGCTCTACAGCATCCAATACAAGGAAAGCATCAAAAGACAAGAAGCTATTATTATACAAAATAAACAACTCACATTAAATAAAATATCATTCACAACAGGAGACTGTATCTTGTAGTGCATATTATATCATTAATAGGCACATATATAAAAAAAATAATAATAAATTAAATAAAAAATATACCTCATATATAAAATAAATAAATTACATTCTTTTGTGCTGCCTCATTTCCAATAGTCATTACACATAATGTCACACAAACATTAAACAAACAGACATTGTCAGTTCTTTTTAATCAAACTTGTTTGGATGAATACTTGCTCCCTAATTTTATCTCATATATATATATATATATATATATATATATATATATATATATGAAATGAAAGGGTCCACATATAACTCTCTTCATCTATGTTTACAATCTCACTCTCACACTCCCTCCACTAATAATAATAGACCAGGCTAATGCTTTTACACTGATCCAAAGTTTAAATTTAAGTTCATTTTCATAAGAAGTTTTGAATAGTGAGGAATCTGACAGAGATTGGGATTTTGATAACAACATGATTTCCACTACAAAAACATCTCTCAGTGAGTAATTCCCATTTTTCTGTTTATTTCTCACACCATTGATGAAGGACACAGGCATGCCCCAAAAATTTTGACTTAAAACCTTTCTTTTTGTACTTCATTTCTGTCTTATGGTTAATAATTAATATTTAAATGTTTTTCGTACTGATTATATTGGTACCTTTTTGTTTGCCCTTGTTTTATTAACTAACCTATCTATTTAATATATATATATATATATATATATATATATATATATATATATATATATATACTCTAGGTCATCAATGTTGTTGGGCTCATTACAAAATATACTATTGGTATAATTTAGACACTAAAATGATTCCTTTACTCTAACTAAAATATATAATTTTTAAAAGTCTCTGTGCATGAAATTAAAAAAAGACACATTTTGGTATTTTAATATTAAGTGTAATAATTCTATAAAAATAAACATTTATTTTAAAAAAATTTCCAGACATGTAAAACAAAAGTCAAGACAAAGCCAAATATGTTTGTTTTTTTTTTCAAAATAACATGTATCTATCTCAAGTATGTGTTTGTATATATGTCTATGCATTAGTGTGTTTATGTATTTCTCTGTGTGTTTATATTCTGCTGATTGATATATTTCCTCAACACTACCCCAGTCACACTCAACCCCAACTCTCCAGTTGATGACTGAATTTTAGGTTGGGCTAAATTTAATTTGCCCTTTCTCAAAAGATACATTCCGCTAAAAAAAAAAATTAAACTGTACGGAATAAATTATTTAAAATTGACATTTGTAAACAAAAAGTTAAAATTAAAATGTGTGCTTTGAAAAACAGGGCATACAAGTCATTAGAGATTTTTAAAAGATTATTTATGAAATTAAAGCAAGAAATACATTGCCTAATAACTTGTCTCCAGCTTCAATCAAGCTCAGACCTACTCAGCCCGACTAGCCACATTAATTTTATTTCATTCTTTTTTTTTTACTTACTTTCTTTGTTTTTTCTTTCTTTCTTCTTTATTATGAACAATATTAACAAAATTTATTTCAGTGAATATTTTGAAGCACAGAGTTAAAACAATTTTGTACCCAGCTGAAGTCAAGAATGAAAACAGTGCTCTACAAAAATCTTTTTTGCTTTAAAGTAGATATGCTTGAAGGTTGACTTACCTGAGCTAAGTCTGACAATCCCGACCACAGGAGTCACCAGTGATACACACACACACACACACACACACACATATATATATATAAACCCACTGATATTAGGCAATATAACAAAAAGCAGAATATAGATTAAATTGAAAGTTACATTTTTGTCTAAGAACCAAAGTTCATTCCCCATTTTTTTTAACTATTCGAAAAAGTTTGTAAATTAATTAGCTCTTTGTCTATTCTTCTGTCTTATTTGTGCTAAACATATGACAATAATCGTAGAAATTCCTAAGCTGTATTTTTAACTCCATTTTGAAACTAATTAAATAATCTCAGTATGTCATTTTAGTATAATGTTTGTTTTTATCTTGTGGAAAGAATGAGCATGAATGTAAAAGAACAACTGAAAACAATAGACTTAATGGTCAGCAACAAAAGAGACACCAATCGGTTAAGTATGGTTTGGTAACAACAATAAAAACTAAAAATGAAAGAAAATTTTAATTATCCTTTTATCTGAGGCATATATTTGAATATTGATAACATCACTCAACATAAAAAAGAATAATAATATGGGCAAAGGCAAGTAGTTTCATCTGCAATAAAAGTGCACTAAGTTTGACAGAAAACATAACAATTTTCATGGTGATTAATACAAAGCTTGTTGCTGCAATTACAACTCTCAGTGTCTTGAAGATTTTTCTCTTTTTCTACAACAATTTACATATAAAATATTTCATTGTTATGTCAACCATGTTCTAATTTTTTAGCATTACAAAGTACAAAATTTAAACAGATATACCTAGATCTCTCTGAATGCCCTAACTGGTGCAGCACCTCTCCATTGCACTAAAATGAGGGGTCATGAGTTGCTTTAACACTTTTGCAGCATAGGCCTCAAGAACTGCAATTTTTACCACTGCCTACATGTATATGTGTAGTACTATGTGTAAAACCTAACTTTTTATAGTTTGCCTTGTGTGGTGGTAAATAAATCTTGATATTTTAAGAATTTTAAAACCAATCTTTATTTTATAATTGCAAATTTCTCTCATTATCTTGTTAAAATTTTACTTAGAATCATGTAATTTAAAATAACCATAGTTGTTATTCTGTTCTCATTGGTTCAATATTAACCCATTCCCTATTGTTGCCTGTTACTCTATTCCAACTTCTCTTTCTATTCTTCTTTATTTTTGTTTTGATAGGGTTTTGTCTATGTGTATACATTGTTTTTTTTTGTGGGGGTGAGTTTTTGAATGACTCCTCTTCATGCATTGATAGTCAGTATTTTTTTTCAATCATTGCAACAATAAGAAATTCAGCCAGTCCTTAACAATAATACTACACCACATAAACTATAAAAATTAACTGCAAATACCAGAAGCTGTAAGCCTAAAAAGCAAACAACCCAACATCAATAACATTCCATTCAATTTAGGAACAAACATATTATATTTCACAAAGATACTTTACATAAGGATGTGACTCTCAAAAACTATTAAAGACATCTAATGCATATGCATACACAAACCTATCAACACAAAAATAAAATTCTTTGATTAAGGCTTTTTAAAAGACTTTTTGTCTTTTAAAAAGCCTTAATCAAAGAAACCAGAAAAATAATCTGAACTGTACAGAAATTAAATAAAAATATATCTAAAATAAAGAACTTTTGTTGGTCTTCTACCATATCTGTATCATTGAAGAGTTGCTGCCCAAATACACCCTATCTATCTATCTATCTATCTATCTATCTATCTATCTATCTATCTATCTATCTATCTATCTCATCTTTTTCCAATAATCTATCTCTCCCTATCTCTCGCACTGCTGCTGCCCTATCTATCTATCTATATATATATATATATAATCTGCATGAAGGTCAGAAGCTTACTATTTTCATACAATCTGCTGTTTATGTTTGTGCCTGCTGTGCTCTTGCATTTGTTGCTAATTAATTGAATTTGATTTAACTCATTGATTGCACAAACTTACCTCAGTTCAATCAGATGTTCCATCCTTGATTTCACATGCTGATTGATTCTGGCATTGTAAGATTTTCTCCAGTTTTCTTTTTTTTTTTAGATGTTCTCTTTCAAATTTTTGGAAATTGATCTTATATTATTTTGAGTTTATCTTTGTAGTACAGGAGTCTTCCAACATTATACTAACCATCAAGAATCTGACTGTACATTACAATTTTCAGAAGTCTACAATCAGGCATTCTTGTATATACACAAAGAGATATGCTAAATGTTTATTTAACACAAGGTATCTTGTACAGGATTTATGATGTTGAAATTTTTGTTTCCTTTTAATGATTATATATTATAATTATAACGACACTGCAAATGCTACAATCATATATGTGAATTTGCATAATGCTTCTAATGAGAGGTCTTGAATGGTTCTTGGCCTGATCCAATTCCCCAAATAAGACCAAAAATCTAAATATTTTTTCATCCTTTCTTGGTCAACATCGATTCCTCTGCTTCCCATCCCTGTGGAAGTAGTAGTTGGTTTTTGAACTCTTTAAAAACTTTTTATTTTACTTGCAATACCATCACTTGACAAGACACCAGAAGTGTTGAAATAAAATGGTTACTTTTGTAGTGATATTATAACATACCTATGTTATAATTTTTAAATAAATATTATATATATATATATATATATATATATATATATATATATATAACTCTCCCATCAAATTCAACGTACGAGGGTCAAGCAGTTCAATTCCTAGGAACCAAAAAGCCCAACACCAGCACATGAGATTTTTTGATTATAGTGGTGAAGGTTTTATGCAGAACCATCCCCACTTTTTGAAGGGCCAAATACAGAGACCTGTTGCACTATGTGCCACAAGGTCCGCAAATGACCCTCCACAGGTTTTGGATTCAAAGTTTTCCTCCTCCTAGATCAGTTGCCTTCCATGGTTATAGAACCTGGACTGTCCTGCTATTTACCCATAGCTGGAGGAGAAGAAAAGGATTCATACCTTTACCAAGGATATTAGCACGTAAGTGAATGTAATGGATTTGATTGGAATTTAAACTTGACTCTCCAATTCCTTAATCCAAGCCGCTATCCATTACTCCACCATGCCTCATATATATATATATATATATATATATATATATAATATAATATTTATTTTAAATTATATATATATATATATATATATATATATAGAGAGAGAGAGAGAGAGAGAGAGAGAGAGATGGAGGAAGAGAAAGAGGTGTTTTATCACACAATATAAATTGTTAATGAGAGCAATTGAATTGGCAACAGGTGCAGAGGCCTATATTCTTCCATGATTTTTATATTGTATGTATATATAATATCAGATAAAGATTAGCAGACTCTAAAAAGAGTATGCCCCAAAATTGCTTACTGGCAAAAAAGTGCTCACTGTCATAAGAAATGGCAGAGCTTTAATATATAAGAGTAGAAATCCCAATTCTTATGGCATTGAGTATTTTAATAGCCAAATAGGATACATAGCCACATTTTATTAAAGACACCAGACAAGGTTTGTTTTGATCAATTTTAGTGATTTTCTTTTGTTTTCATTAAGTTTAATCAATGTTTGGCTCCAGAACATGTTAAAATTGTATGCATATGTTTGATTTCTTTCAACTATCATTGGTCATTTTCAAGAAAAGAATATGCTATTGTTTTGAAATTCAAGAAAACTTTGGTGTTTTGTGCATTAAATATTTAAATCATCTTTGATATCTTAATGCCATCAGATGTAAGTCAACTTACTGTATTTTAAATTTGTGTTTTTATTAATTATTGAATATATTATATCAGTTCCTTAGCTGACTGATATATAATATAGGATTTTTATTTTAAGATTATGACTTGAAGTATTTGTAATCATTTTTTGCAGTTTAAGTTGTAAAATATCTTTCTGCCATTATCTGTCTTATATTGAAAGGAATATGATGGCCTTGTGTGCTATGTTGATTAATATAATTTTTTGTGACACATTTGCCTGATAAATAAGATGTTGGTCAATGTGAAAGCATTGTTGCCATTTGACAAATGTATATATTACATGTTTTTTATTAATTTTAGAGATTTCCTATTAGGCAAGCAAATTTGTATATCACATTGGTTTTATTTTATTAGTATAATTTGTAACTATTAAGGTTTGAAGTTTTTCATTTTTTTTTTTATAATAGATGATTAACAATATGTTTATCACCATCTTTTGGTATATTTATGAGTTCTATTCCTCATGGATATTCCATTTTGTTTATAATTTTGATGCAAATGTCTGCAATAAAATAAGTCTGTTATATTATTTTTGTTATATTGTGTATATTTTTGTTAGTCATTTTATTCAAAGTTTGGTAAGTCATAGTTAATTGGTATTCATTTTACATTAATGATGTTTATTTTTCTTTTCTTTTTATGAATTTCAGAATGGATTTATACCACCACTACTGAAGATACCAATGCAAGTTAATAATCAGAATGAAATTTCAACTTTTATCTCTGACACAATAAGGGAATCCGATAAAAATAAGAACCAAAATTTTTACCCAAATCCATCTGTGTGGAATACTTTTGTGACCAAACAAAATATGCCAAATGAGGCTTCTGCTTCTTTGAATTATAAAAATATCAAAGACAACCAAACAAAAAAGTACTCTTCAGAAAGTTGGTCTGTTGAAAATGGTAGCATGAACATTGATAGAAAGAGTCCGGTGCATTCTGGAATCTTCCAGAAAATAATCTCTAGAATGAGTGATTCTTCTGCTCAGCTTCCAGCTACCAACCAATTTTACATAAATAAAGACAGAACTACAAATGTAGTAGATTCAGAAACACAGGTTAACAATGTATCCTTTAATTTTAGAGAAAAATCTACAGACTTAATTACAGAAGACAGAATTCAAACCTGTGGAAAAATATACACAGAAAACAATATACAAAATTTTACTTGTGATTCAGAAATCCATCAATATAATAAACCTTTCATTCATTTTGATAGAAAAAAAGCAACAGTTAATTTTTCTAGAGATGAAATGGTTCAAGATACAGATAAGAGATTTAATACAAATTTTTCAGAAACCATAAATGACTGTGAGAAAAAAGTAAATATTTCTGAATTAAACCCATTGATTAAAGTAAAAAATAAAAGGACAACCAGTCAGGTTATGGCTTTACTTAAAACAAGTACCAGTGAAATAAGCAAAAATAAAGAGAGTAATACAAGAAATCTGCCACATTCTGCTGATGTATTCTTATCTAAAAGTGAAGATCCAAAATCCTTTAATGACCATTACAATGATGTAAAGAATTTTGATGAAAAGCAGCAGGAAGCTGATTTTATTAACCAAGAATCATTGGAACCAAATATAAACATTGTACAACTTCCTGAGTTATCTAAAAAAACAGATAATGAACTCTGTTCATCTAAGAATACTAAAACTGATCCTCAGTTTCCCCAGAATCTGTCAAAAGATTCTGATGTGAAAATAATTAAAAGCCCATGTAGTGCTTTAGATGAAAGTCCTCTACATACTGATATATCATCCAACTTGAATTTTAATATGAAAAATGATAACACATCATATGGAATTGGTTATACAATGCCAAATGAATGTATTGATGGTAAAAATATATTGTTTTCAAGTGAAAGTTTTAAAAGGAGCTTCAGTATGGAAAAATTAAGTGGGTCTCTCATTAGAAATAAAACTGATATAAATTTTAATAAAAACATTTCTGAGAAAAATTTACTTTCACCAGTTTCAGTGAGTACTGTTTATCCTGAAGTTTCTTTAGATAATATTACTAAAAATTCCCTACAGGCTCCAAAAGCTGAGAATGAAGTTAGTTTTCCTTTGTTAGAATTCAACAATAAATCAGAAGACAAGGACCTCATCGCAAAGAAAAATACATTAGCTGAGAAGCATGATTCAATATCATTAAATATTAATAATAAAGCAGATTATGAAAAATTTCAAGAACCTGATTCTAACATCAAAAATAGGTTTGAAAGGGATTTGAATCTTCATAAAGGTATTGTTTTATCTTCTCCAAATAATAGTCTTATCAATAAAGAAGAAAATGAGTTAACAACAGGAACTAATTCCATTAGCCAAACAGATATAATAATCAAAAATTATAATAATAATCAAAGTAAACGTTCTCTTGTTGCTTCTACAACTGAAGAACCTCACTCAAAGCGGTTTAGAATTGAAGCAGAAAGACATAAGACTGACTCAGAAGTAAATAGAGATGAGCTGTACAAGGTAGAAAGTTACAGACAAATAGAAAACAAAAGAGATGATATCACAGAAAATTTATCTCTTAAAGTATCCACATTAGCAAAAGGTTCTGAAAATGTGGAATTATCAAGTGAAAACCAGACAGAAAATGTTGTTGAAGAAGTGTCCGAAAATATCCTGGTTGAAAAAATGTCAGAAAATGTGATAGTTGAAGAAGTGTCAGAAAATGTCCCGGTTGAAGAAGTGTCAGAAAATGTCCCGGTTGAAGAAGTGTCAGAAAATGCCCCGGTTGAAGAAGTGTCAGAAAATGTCCCGGTTGAAAAAGTGTTAGAAAATGTGATGGTTGAAGAAGCGTCAGAAAATATGATGGTTGAAGAAGTGTCAGAAAATGTCCTGGTTGAAGAAGTGTCAGAAAATGTCCCGGTTGAAAAAATGTCAGAAAATGTCCCGGTTGAAGAAGTGTCAGAAAATGTCCTGGTTGAAAAAATGTCAGAAAATGTCCTGGTTGAAAACATGTTAGAAAATGTGATGGTTGAAGAAGTGTCAGAAAATATCCTGGCTGATGAAGTGTCAAAAAATGCCCTTATTGAAAAAGCATTTGGACTAATTCCAGCAAAAGATAATTGTAATAAATCTGGTATTTCTGATTCTGCTCATCTATCAAACAATAACTTTAATCCAACAACAAATGATGAAAGTAAACTTACTAATGTGAATCTTTCCAGTTTTCCTCAAGTTTCCAATGATAAAAGTACATCAAAATGTTCTTTCAAATTACTACTTGCAAATAAGGATAATGTGTCAAACTGTTGTCAAGCTGAGGATAACATTACTGAAGAGAAGAAATATGAAAATGATAATACTAATCAAATAAACACATGTACCCTATCCAATACTTTTAACAAGTCCTTATTGTCAAATTCTGTGATTCTTCCCATTGTTGGATCAGGTGAAATCTGTTGGGACAATTCATCATCTGAAGACGGATTAAATTTTGATCTCAGCTTTGACTTTGGTGATAACTCTCACCAGGAAAACAATAAACAAATAGATCAAAATGAAGAATCAGAAAACTCAGTGGTTGAAAATATAAAATCAGTGTCCTCTTTTCTTAATCCTCAAGTTCAGAATGAAGAAAAATTTATAACTAAAGCAGAGAAAAAAAAAGAAACCATGCAAATTCTGAAGTCAATTTCAATGAATAATTCATCAAATATAAATTTAAATAAACAAAACATTTCTGATTCACTCCATGTTAAAACCTCTATTTTAGATAATTTAGATCCACAACTAAAAGAGAAGAATGACCATTTTGATATTAACAGTCATCTAATCCCAGCAAACAAAGATGAAGCTGAAATTGTCTCATTCTCTTCCAATTGTATTTTAAAAGCTAAAAATAAGATTTCTGATAAAGTCAGTTTACAGTACAATACTCCTGTTAATATAACTTTTGATCCACTTTCATCAAATAAGAAAGAAACTATTCAGGAATATAACCAAAAGGAATCCTTGTCAGATAATATTTATGTTAAAAATGATGAATCAATTTTAGATGATCCTTGCAAACCTCTTGAAAATAGTTTGTCTGAGGCTCAAATTAAACATTTGGATTTTGGTGGATCAAAAATGAATTCTCAAGGCCTTGATGAGATATGTGAAAGTAAAATACCAAATGCAGACAATGCAAAGAACATAAATCAAGAAGTTCAAGATAGCAATAATCTATATTCTTGTTTGGATGAATTATCTTTTAGCCCCGATCCATTTGATAAATTTGAGTCTGGCTTAAATCAAATAGCTTGTCAAAATGAGATTATTCCATCATTAGGTCCAGGAATTCCTAAGTTTTTAAGTTTTACAAATATTCTTGATTCTTCAGTTAAAACTTTTGAGATGAGTCCATTTTCAAGGGACAAAATAAGCACCTCAAGTAAAACTGATGTTGATGAAGTAATTTTTCCTCAGACATCACATGTTGAAAAGGTACAAGCAAAGTTAGAATTTAGTTCTACTGATTCAATCTCAGACCACACACAAAATTCAGTTACATTATCTACAAAACCTAAAGTTTGCAGAATTGGGCAGCTTTTCCCCTTGACCATTGATCAAAATATCCCAGAAAAAAGAATCCAACCCTTACCAAAACATCAAGATTTTGAACACCAACAAAGACTCATTCTACAAACAAAATGTGAGTAGCTGTTTAAATTAATTTATTTTTAGAAATTGATTTTTGTAGAAATAAATAAATTTTCATTATTTTTTAATGTTGTTTATCTTTCCTTGCTTTTTTCTTAGTATTGTGTGCTTTAGAGGGTATCCTAAAGTTTGATAGAACAAATAAGATTCATTGCATGGGGTGCATGTAAAAAACATCACAAGATTTGGTGCTCAAACCTTCCATCCTCCTTAAAAGTCGAAACTTTTCAAACATTGATTGAACCAGTCCTACTGTATGGATCAGAAACTTGAACATTATCTGCTCATCTTGAATGACGACTGGATGGAACATATACAAATCTACTTAGAAACATTCAGAGCATAAATTGAAGATCCTATGCAACGCTTAACACAATTTATGCAGAACTGAAAGCTCAAGCAAAAACAATTAGTTTGCTGGCCACTGCCATCAAGCAAGACAGGGAAATCATGTCACTCTTATTCCTATAGCATCCTTCTGGAAGTATCTTCTCACGAAAATTGTCTTTCCCAGCTCGGGACTCAGCATTGGACATTGGTAATCTGGGGACAGCAATGTAGGATCAAACTGTGTGGAAAGCAATTGTCAATGGAGTTCTGACCAACCATAGGGAAGTTGAAGGAGAAGGAGGAGGATGATGGTGATGATGATTCATTAAAAGCTTTTGCTGTACAAAAATAACATTGCAAAACTCATGAAAGCCATTTTTTAGATGTTCTAAATGTTGAAGGTCATTTTGTGCTACATTGCATCTCACTTCATGTTTTATGAATACTAATTGGAATCTAAAAGTTTATTTGCTGAATGTTAGCAATATTTATCTGCACAGTAAGGATGAATGTTGGTTTGTTCTGTGCATATGTAAACAAATGACAGCTATTGTGTGAATTGTTCTGAATTTTGACGTTGTGAATTAATGGTTATATTGTAAGTTTGAAGCTTTAAAATGAGTCATGATAATGTTGTGTTGGTTGATTTTCCAAAATATCAACCCTTTTGATGGATAAAGGGAAATGTTTAATAACTTCAGAGCTTGCAAAAGGTAAAGCAATGCTAGAAAAGGCAAAAATGATCAGCAGATACCACTGCATTGTGAAAAAGTTTGTTGAAAATCCTGGATGACAGTCTCATAAAGGCAAGTTAAGTACTTTGTCTTACAGGTCTGTGTTCCATATGAAAAAAAAAATCCATATTTGTCAAGTTATGAGATTTTTAGACACTGTGGAAACAAAGAAATATCAATATACAAAAAGTGTGTTATCCTAAATCAGTGAAATTGCTAAATATAAACCATAAGTTCTATTTTAATAGTTTCTTCTCTTGTACTTCTCACTTGTGGCACTCTCTTTCCAGTTTCTTGTTTTTCTATCGCCTATGATCTTCAAAAATATAAATGCAACATCAGTCATCATCTTCTTTCTCCTTGAAACCTGTTCTTTTATTGTCCTCTCTCCTCAATAATATTTTCTCAGTTTCTTTCACTTTCAGTAATACCTTGTGTCTTAGTGCTTTTATCACCTTGCTTGAAGAAAAGTGATTTAAATAAAAAAGCAAAACAATATCCATAAGTTGGTGGCTGTCCAGTTGTATTTAGAGGGTACCCTTCTACTAGGGTGGCTAGTTAATCCCTGTTGCAGATGTCTGCTCCAACACGTTTGTTCAATACCCACAGAGCCCACTTATGGTTTATACTGCAACTATACTGAGCGAACCTTAGAATTTCTGGGAAAGAACGCATTATCTAACATGATCAACAGTCTGAACAAGGCCAATGCATTCAAGCCCTCAGTCACAATGACTTGTGCCTTTATGCAAGCACACTCATCAACAGCTCCCAAAGGGTTCTGTCTACCCAATTTCACTCACATGGTTTGGATCAACTTGTGGTGTAGGTTTTCAGGCATTTCCAAAGGTGCCACATGCTGAGATTGTCTCCAGACTGATAATATCAAGAAGTCATCTTCCTGACAAATTGACCATGGATAGATTGGAACCTAGATCACATAGTCAGAAAGCGAACATTCTAAACAATTGGCCATGTGTCCATAAGTAAATTCAAATAAAATGGACAACAGAATACATACAACTCTCAACTGGCCAGACAGATAGGGCAAAGGCTGGGTGTCTACTAACAGAAACTATCCTCACAAGTTGAGACACCAACAAGCCAGAGCTGGTGAGATGTTTTGGGGTGAGTTTATATGTGATGAAAGGGTGGACTGATGGCAAGTTCTGTGTTGTTAAGGTTAGGTTGACTGATTTGACAATTTGGGTTATTTAATTTTTTAATTTATTTATTTTGGGTTATCTAATCTCTTGTGTTAAGCTGCATTATAAAGATATCAAATTTCTTAGAAAGGACATGACACATAATAATTCCTCAAGCTTTTAATCCATTAATATAGATGATAACTTAATTACATGGAGAATATATATTATCATAATTTGTTATCATTGTTGTAATATATCACACTAGTTGTATTTTCACAATGGCTGGATCAGTAAATAATAAACAGACAAGGGGGAATGATTGCTAATATTTTGAATTGATGGGACATGAATTTTTGTGGGAATTTTTAGATGTGGATTTTTCAGTATTATACAGTGATTTACTCAAGATAATGTCATCATTTTGGTTGTTATATTCACAATATTTCAATCATTGTACACTTCACCTTTCTTCAGACACTTGTAGAAGAATCTACAATGACTAAAACACTGTTACAACCAAGATGAAGACACTATTCTAAGTAAATCAATGAGAAGTTTTAAATTCTCTTCATGATTAAGAATAGACTGTTCTGTTGGAGTGCAAGATTATTACTGTAATCACACTTTGCTAATTAGTAAATACCTTCATATTCACATTGAATAAGAAGGAATCTTTATAGTGAAAATTTAATACAACTGGTCCCTCTAAAAAGAGATTTAGCTCTAATCTGGCTTTCAGACTTGTTATAGCTCAAAGCCATGTCTAGATAAGTTATTGTTGTATAAATAATGCTGTTTAAATAATTAAAGACTAAATCAGCTGAATATAAAGCCTTATTGAAAATTATACATAACTGGTATGGGCTCCATTGTAAATACTGTATTATGCAAACAGAAGGATTTTAAAGTTAATTTCAATTACCATGAATAAAAATGACATTGAATTATCTACTTAGATTAAGAGTTTCATAATATCTCTACTGCAAATTCAGTTAAATCTCATGATTGTGTTAGAATATTTTCTATAATTTTATTTGTAATTAATATCAAAGAAGTCAGTTATGCGCCATACATGATACATATTTAGGTGATCATGTATCTTTCGATACGTGACTGACGAGGCAGATAGTTTTTCCTGTAGTAGGTTACCATTTATTTCTGCAGTAGACCATTTGCCATCCAAGGCTATAGAACCCAGTCTGTCCTGCTTTTTACCCATAGCTGGCGGGGAGAAGAAGAGGATTCATACCTTTCCCAAGGGTATTAGCACGAAAGTGAATATAATGAATTTGACTAGAATTTGAACTCTGCTCTCTGATTCCTCAGTCATCTTTTTTAAAAACTTGATTTGTATATATAGAAATGTTTTTCATTAAAATATTCATATTTTAATTAACATTTTATTTCATGCATTTACTAATATTTTGTTTGAATTAGTTATTTCAGTCAGCTGATTTAGGCACTGTAAATTTCTTTAATTTTTCTAGCAGTAAGTCTTCAAAGAGAAAATTCCCTTCCTCACCCTTCCAGACTCAAAGGAAATATTGGTAAAAGTATACTAAGACTGGATCTTCCAAAAAACAGTTTGGTAAGACATTTGATTTTATTTTCCTTGTTTTTCTTTTAATTAAAAAATTGTAGATAGTCCTATATTTAAAAAAAATATATATTTTTGCCATATTTCATGGTAATTTTCTACACAGAAAAATTTGCATTAACTATCATCTCTGTTTATATAAAGTGGATACTGTTTATTATTTAAACACTGAAATTATCCCTTTGTTACCTAAAAATTAAAAACATGTAAAGATACTTTTAGAATGTTACAATTTTACTCCTAAATTTAATTTAGAGTTGGAAAAATATTTATTAAAAGTTTGTTAGCACAAAAATCTTTCCTTTTTTTTATTTTGTTTCAAACATTATAAGAAGTGTCATACATAACATTTTTATTTTTATTACCGGACTGTTTATAAAACCTGTGGTATTTTGGATAGGAATATATTAAATAAATGTCAGTTTTCATTTACTTTAATAATTATTTATAAAGGTATCTTCTTTTTTATAGTTGGACTTTACTATTATGAAAGACCAACATGAGTACAGGTTTTACTTATGATCCTAAATTCTATGAAACAAATGAAGTTACCATTAATTTATATAGAAAATATTTTGAGCATTCCCAGACCACTAAAATAATTATTCTATGTTTGCCTATATCAATACTAAGATTTGTAGTCTAATGTAGCTGATATTAGAGTATGTTTGATTGCTTCACCTCATACAGTTTTCTATCACTCCATTTTTGGGGATTGCAACCATATCTCATTGAAACATCAGTTCTTGAACAATCACGAAAGTGAGGTAACATTGAGCCTGGTCAGCACCTAGACAGGTGATTTCTTGGAAATATTAGGCATTGTAAGCTTGGCTGTGCAGGTAGCATAATGGATAATGGCTCAATTGAAAATGAAAAGACTAAGTTTCAGTTCCTGTTGAGTTTGTTATATTTACTTTGCAAATACCCTTGGAAAAGGTATGAATCCACTTCTTCTTCCTCTGGCAATGAGTTTATTAGTAGGACTTGTATCAGTAAATCATTATTATCTCTAAAATATTTTACAATCTGAAAATATTTTCTGGCTTTAAATAAGCTGTGAAAATCAAATCAATCAATAAATCAATCAGCTCTTTGTAGGTACTCAAAAAGAGCTTGTAATCCTGCCCTAAAACAAAAACATTTTTAAAATTTAAGTATATTTCTGCAATCGTTGCAACTCTGTTAACCATAACAAAAATATGAATGCTATTTTTAGGATTTGAAAAATGATAAAAAATTTCCTGTATAAATTAATGATGATTATTTCTTTACTTTTTGCCATTTTACTTTGCAAAAGATTTCATAGAAATACTCTACTTTTGTATACCAAAGGAAAAACCTATAAAGTGACACAACAGATTTTGATTGTTGAAAAATTACTGATTACATTGGAACTTGCAAACATGTAGGCATTTCAGATTTTATTATCACTACTCCACCAATTCAATTGGTAGCTTTCTACAATAACTAAATATTTTTGGCAGTAGGAAAATATTTAATGAATGAGCACTAAATTATGTAATTCTTTACTTAAAATTAGTTTTAGTACTCTGTATGTTGTGCAGTAAAAATAAGAAAAAATGGGTCAAGAGTTAATATAAAAATTACTGACCAGAGTATTATATGTGTAATTCTTTTAACATATTGATTAAATATAAAATGACTGCTTTTATAATACAGTGTGTCCGTGAAGTCTCTTTACAATTTAAAAAGTTTATTACAAAAGCAAATGAACAAATATGTGGAAATTGTTACAAAATGAGGAGTAGACATTGAATTATTTTTTAACTAATTAATACATCTCTATATGGGAACCTTTAGTTGCATGAAGCACATCAAGACAGTACTCAGTTTCTTCCCATGTTCTCTGTAGCATAGCCTCATCAATGGTAGTAATGGCATCAGTGATGTTCCATATCTTTGTTCGATACACAATATCTTTAACATAACTCCATAGAAAGAAGTTCAGGGAAGTGATATCTGGTGAACGAGATAGCCAGTGAATTGGGCCATCCCTTCCAATCCACTGGTCTGGGAATGTTTGATTTAGGAACCCACAAACATTCAGTACCCAATGTGGTGGTACACCATCTTGCTGGAAAATGATGGTTGGTTGAAAGTCATCTAGTTGTGGTGCTACATAAATTGCCTTTGTAATATATTTTTTTAAATTGTAATGAGACTTTATGAACACGCTGTATATCTCTAACAGATTGCAGCAATAAAGAGAAGTGGTACTATATATTTTCATATTAATTTTGATTTAACATAATAAGAAATATTTCTCTGCATTTTTTATTCTTTCAGTTATCCCGGACAGCTGATTTAAATGGATATCGAATGCATGGTAGTGTATTCAGTGATATGGTCAAACGTACCAAGGCATCAAACAACACCAAAGTTAATAATTTCAAAGAAGAGAAGCGGGATCTTCAAAATTTTCACAATTCCACTGATTCATGTAAGATACCAATTTCTTCTCTTGTTCAGTTGATGTATTCAGATATTAATTTCATCCTCTAATAATAAAAGTTTTCATCTTGCTATTCAAATTTATCAATATGAGATTAATCAGTCCACATCAAATTCTTTTAATCTTTAATTTTCTGAATACCTAATGAATTATATAATACTAGTGAGCATTGTTTTATAATGCATAAAACATGTTACACTATAATTTTGTTCATATCTAAGAATATAGATCAGATACACTTTTCATATTTTGCATTTATGATCTCAAAATATGTCCATATAGAATTATATAAAAAGCATTAAAGAAATTTTTCATGTACGTTATTGGCTATTGCACTGAGGTTAGCCTGAGGTAAGCATGTTTAGTCCCTTTCTTGATTGATCTATGTTTCTTGAACTTGTTTTAAACTATTCTAAATAATTTGCATAAATCCATCCAATTTAGATTATCTACTAATGCCAGCAATAAGGAAATATTTAATAATAATAATATTAGATATATAAAAATATTAGGACTAAGCAACCATAAAGTAAATATAGAATATTTAGAAAAAACATTTTTATGTTTGTTTATTTTTATACAAAATTTAAAAAAAAAGCAATAATTTTCATTTATGTTTAATATAAAATATAAATCCCGTCTATTTTAAATAATAATTAAAAAAAAATTTTGTTCTTTGTTTTTAATATATATATATATATATATATATATATATATATATATATATATGTATATATATATATATATATATATATATATATATATATATATATATGCACATACATGCATACATAATCTAAGAACACTGTTTAAAAGATCTCTGGATGTTTTGATCTTTATCAATGATAATCTTGCTTCTTACTTGTTCTACATTTACAGTTAAAATATTTTGCAATGTTGTTTAGATCACTTTAAAAGATGAGGGACCTTAGAATAGCATTGTCATGATATAATTTGACATCATATTAAATATTTTACTTTCAGTTTCTCTACATGGAAAGGATAATGCTTTGCATACAGAAGAATTTCAAATTGGCCTTAATTCCACAGAAGCAAAGTTGGTTAAGAGGACTGGGATGGATACATATTCTTCAAGAAAGAAGACTTGGGTGAATTTCATTGTATTAACTTATTCTAACCTGATATTTTTGGTTCTATAGTAGGTTCTAAATATAGTCACATATATTTACTACAAGGATCACATCTCATTTTTATTTTTTGCTTTTCTTTTTTAATTGAGCGAAGTAGTAAAGTTACTAAGACACAAGTTGTTACAGGGTGTGGAAGAATTAGAAAACAGAAACATTACTAAGGAACCAGTACAAAAGAATAGTAATCAAGAGGACAGTAGATAACAATTCACATTGCATTTAAATTTCTGAAGATTAAAATTGGCTGGAAAGCATGGAGCCAGAAGGGAGTTCCACAAGCAAGAAGTACAAGAAAAGAAACTGTTAGCATAGAACTTACGGTTACATCTAGCCAACTCAACTGTAAATTAATGAGACCTCATCACCAGTCTAGGACTGCACTTAAATTAAAAAATTCTGGGGAACATAGCAAAGAGCTCATCCAAACAATTAGCATTTACAGAAAAGGCACAGAGAAGCAGCTTTACAGTGATAGGAAAGTCACTGAAACCATGGTGCCAGATAAGGACCAATAACATTGCTGATTCTTCTTTGGATTTTATCAAAGAGCTCTAGATATATAGTGGGAGCACTGGACCATATGCAGCAGCAATATTCTAAGCATGGGCAAATGATAGACATAGATGTATGATATAGATTTTGGAGAGAAAAATTGTCTAGCATGATACAGTGAACCGACTTTTTTAGCAGCTGACTTAGCGATGCTTAGAGAAATATACTTGTAACAAAGTGTTGGATAGTTGAATGTTACTGCGATATTACCTTATACACCTTTTGTTTGGCTAAGGGTCAGAGGGTTAACTTGGTAGCTAAGTAATATCAGTAATACTTAATTTGGTGAATAAAGAAGAAAGTTATTGTGAATAACACATAGTGGAAGACAAGAGTTATGTTCAGTCTATACCAGGAATAATTAATAGCAACTTTCTCCACATGTATAACAACTTGCAACTAAAATAACAAAAATATCAATATAAAACAAACTTAGTAATAATACCAAAATTTTAAAAAAATGAAAAATTAATTAACTCAATATTGATGTTCTCCTGTTCATTTGAGACCAGGGTTAATCTTGACTAATTCTTTTTGTCTGATAATTCTTAGGGCAGATCTTTGGTTAGAAATGAACAAAACAAACTTCAGGAAAGTAATTATCTTGCATTGGAAAATAGATGTAGAAATTTAGAAAAATGATAAAGCTGGTAATGAAATTTAAATCAATGTAATGAATGCAGGACTTCTGTAAGTTGTGTGATCAAATTTCCTCAGAAATATTTTTGGATTCAGTTTTTCAATGCCCAAACTGATAGATGCAATCAAGTGATAAAATGAATGAGAACATGTGTTTTAATGAAAGAGAAACTAATTTTTGTGTTTATTTATCTGCAATTATACTTTAAATGCAGAAATGTAGAAAAGAAACTTCAAAAGTTCATCATAATTTCAATGCAGACAAATATCATCTCTATTTAAAAAAAAATAAAAAAACAAATCAGTCCCAGGCAAATTTCATGAAAAATTGTCTCATAGTTTCTCAGCTTTTACTGATATAGACAAACCAGCTATATATATTGGATTAGCCAAAAAAATTATTCTGTTTTTATTATTAGATAATATTAAAAGCATTTCATTTTAAGTGAATGTCTAGGTGGCACAATGGTTAGCAACTCAGAATGAGAAATCAGAGTGCAGAATTTGAATTCTAGTTGAGTTCACTATATTCCCTTTCACACAAATACCAAAATTCAAGGTATGATTTCCATATCTTCTCCTTCCAGCTATGGGTTAAATAGTAGGGCAGATTGGGCTCTTCAGGACCAACCACTGTATGAAAAGGACAACTCTAAATTAAAAAAGAATTGGGTATGGAGCTAGCAATTCCATCTCATAAAAACCTACTTTCTATGGAAACCACACTATCAATGCCTAGCATGTTTTTGGCTAGAAAATTAAGTTTGGGCATGTTTTAATATGGTATGTAGATGAGTATGTAATTGTGTTGGAAATAGAGTTTATTTCCTATAGCCCCATACTCCTCAGCAGAGTCTAAAGAACTTGAATTAGTTTTAACTAGCTTCATTTAAAAAGATCACTTTTGATTATACTGTGATAACTGTGATATTTGAAAAAAAACCTTGTCAAAATTGGTTTATTTTTGTTTATTGATTCTGACATTGAAAATAGAAAAACAAACATTAAAATATTCTTCATTTTTTTTAAAGCTAGATAAAAGTGTTAATTTGTATAAAAATGATTTGCACAGTTATGGAGAATAACTGTGAATAATTAAATGTATCAAAAGTGGTTTGTAAAATTTTGTGACAGAGATCTCTTGTAGAACAATTCTTCCTGATTAGGTAGACCAGTTGACATTGATAAGCAATCAAATCAATACATTAATTAAGAATGATGAATATCATGTCATATACAGATTGTTCTTTGTATTTTATTTAGAAATTCTCGATAAAGAAAGAATCTGCAATGCTATTGGTCCTGACCTGGCATCTCAGCTTCAGTTACTTTCCAATTGTCATAACATGGCTTCCCCACACCTTTTCTACAAATATTTTCATAGTAATTGTTCTGATGAGCTTTTCTCTTTGGTATCTAGACTTTATGAATTATATTATGTTCTATGCTAACAGTTTCTTCTCACTTGCAGCACTCACTTCCTGCCTCTTGCTTTCCTGTCAACTTTTATCTTCAAAAATTTAAATGCATTGTCAATCGTTATCTTCTGTCTTCTTAATTCCTATTTTTTATTGTTCTCTCTCTTCGATAATGTTTTCTATAGTGATACTAGCAAATTAGTATGCATAATTTGCATAAGCATAATTGAACACTCATATAAGTGGTCACTGGGAATAACGAGGTAGAAGTACGAGCTTAGCGGCTGATTAGTGCTAACTTCAACTTCACAACAATGGCGTTACCGATAGGATATCAATTGTCTCTGGAAGATCCAGATTTCGTGGATACATGGATTCGTTGTTTCTCTGCCACTGTGAGAACAAAAAAGTTGAAAGACAACAAGGAAAAGGGAGGCGAAAATCAAATCACGGATTTATTTTTGGCTACAGCTGGATGCAAGGCAATAATGAAAGTCTCCACTATGGCATATCCCTTAAATTTGGAAGACATGACTTTTGAAAAAATAAGTCAGATTATAAGAAGAAATATGAGACCCAAGAAAAGGCTGGTAGTGGCAGAAAGAACGAAATTCATGTCGATGAAACAAGAAATTGACGAACCAATTATAAAATATTTACACCGTCTACGAAATGCAAGTAGATATTGTGAATTTGAAAAACTTGGACAAGATGAACAGACTATTGAAGAGGACTTGATTCAATTAAGACTAATTGAAGGTATGTCCAATGCATCACACCGATATAAAATAATGGAACGATTACAAATAGGAAATATGTCTTTAAATACATGTATTGACTTTATGCAGCAACAAGAACTAATACAGACATACAACCATTATAAAAGTCAACCCAGTGAACAAATATTTGCTGATACGTACATGTTAAAGAAAATAAAAAAGTGTTCGTATTGTGGACGTGAGCACGAAATGAAAAAGGAAAAGTGTCCAGCATTTGGAAAAACTTGTAATAATTGCTTAAAAAAGAACCACTTTCAAGCAGTGTGTAAATTAAAAAAGAAAAATGTTGAAAGAATTGAAGAAAACGACACCGATAGGGAAGTTTTACATTAAAAATAAGACTTTAAAAAGAATTGAACATAAGAAAAAAGACATTATAGTAAAGGTCAAAATTAATAACTGCAATTTAGATATGCAAATGGATACTGGCAGTGAAGTAACACTGATACCAAAAAATTTTGGGGAACACATTGGTAAGCCACCTTTACAAAAAAGCAGTTTACAACTCCGCCAATTTGATGGGTTGGTTATAAAAATATTAGGATACTTTGAAGGTTCATTAGAGTTAAGAGAAAAATTTGAAGTAATACCTATAGTTGTTACAAGTTGCAAAAAAAAACACGGGCTTATTGGAAATGACGTGCTTAATATAAATTCTACTAAGTTAATTAATGAAATAAAAATGGAAAAAACTGGAAAGTTAAAAAGCTATGAAGCAAGTTTAAAAGTAAAAGGAAATGTTTCCCCCTCTTATTATGAGGCACGAAAATTACCAGTACATTTATTGCCATTAGTAGTGACAAAACTACGTAAATTAGTAGAACAAGACCTTCTTGAATATGTTCCACCTGGAGGTAGCAAGTGGACATCACCGATTGTAGTTTTGAGGAAAACAGATGGTGATTTACGTATTTGTGGAGATTACAAAATAGGAGTAAATCACAAGATATGCTCGGATTCATATCCCATACCCAATGTTGAACTTGCATTACATGCACTGGCAGTGATGTCCATTTTTTCAAAAATAGATTTAAAAACGGCATACCACCAAATACCAATAGACGAAGACTTCAAAGAAGTAACCACAATAAATACGCCAATAGGTTTACTAAGATGGAAAAGAATGCCATATGGAATAAAAACCGCAAGTGCCATATTTCAAAGGGCCATTGAACAGGTTTTAGGAAATGTACAAAATATGATTTGTTATCAAGACGACATATGCATAGGAGCTACTAATGAAATGAATTAAAAGAGAAAACTGACTTAGTCTTGAATAGATTAAGAAATGCTGGAATGATGATAAATGAAAAAAAATGCGTAAGCAATTCTAACAAAATATCTTTTTTAGGTTATTCCATTTCAAAAGAAGGTATATCACCAGACCAAGACTTGATAGAAAAAATACTAAAAGTAGCTACACCTACAAATAAAAAAGAATTGGAGTCTTTTTTAGAATTGGTAAATGTTTACAGGTGATACTTACCAAAATACACGGACTTGACGGAACCGTTTGCAAATTTAAGAAAAAAGAATGTGGAATTTATGTGGTCAGACGAACAGCAAAAAG